ACCAGCATTTGCGTGACCACATACCAGAACCCTGATGCAGCTACAGAGGATCCCAGGAACTAGGAGCTTGATATGCAGACCTCCCAGGAACTGGATAGAGGGGCTCTGCAGCAGACATGTATCCAGTACAGAAACAAGGCAAGGCTAGGATAGTCACTGAACATGAAAACAAGACAGAACTAATAGAACCCAGAACAGGACAGAAAGCAGAACCCAGAACATGTACACAAGACATGAGGAAAACAAGAACAGGGCAGGACAGGACTGTACATGAACGGGGATTACAAAATAAAACAAGACAAGATATAATAGGCAAAACAAGAGGAGACATAACTAAGCACTATATATGAAAAGTATGGGGATTTAGTTACATTATATGATCATACATTGCATAAGCCTGCCACAAAGCCAATGTACCCCATATCTGGCAGGTCCTACACTGCCTAATGTTCGCTAAAAGAACCATACTAAACCACAATAGCACTTACCTGCAAGAAAGGGCAGAGACTTGAAACACTGCTGCAGGTCCAGACTGAAACAAAAAGGAAAATGGAAAACAAACGGGTGTGGCAACATAAAACAAACATTTAAAGGAAACCTGGACACTGGGAATTCCAGGGACGGATTACAGGAATGAACCCAGAAAACTGTCACAAAGAGGGAATGGCTGTAAAATAGATGCCATGCCTAACATCTGGAATGCCTATCAACATCTCCTCATAGAGATGCATTGAATGAATGCATCTCTATAGATAAAGTTTAGTGTCAGCAGTGGCCACTAGAAGTGTCCCTAGGGAACAATGTAAACACTGCCTTTTCTCTGAAAAGACCGTCTTTACAGCAAAAAGGCTGCAGGGGCTGACTATACTCACTAGAAGAACTTAAGTTAGCTGTAGTTGTTCTGGTGACTATAGTGTCCCTTTAATGTTAAAGTTGTTATTTAAGCAAAAGTTGCAAGACCCAAAAGAGCCTGCAGAAGAATTGCCAATCAATGGTAACAAAAAAAGTGATCGGAAACGGACATAAAAGTAAAATTTCTGGGGGCGGGGCTTAACCGCTGAGCCGGGAGGACACAGAACAGCACAGCTCCTGCTCCACCGGGCAATAATCGACACACACCAGCCGCAAACAGTGCCCAAACGATCCAGCAGGGTCACCTACCGAGAGGTGAACTCGCAGGGAACACAATGATACCAAGCATGCGCTCACCCCTGCAAAAATCACCGGTAAGGCGACTGCGGCCTACAAACCTGGACGGCACAGGGGAGATGGCTGCTCCCCGGCTACACCCAAGGGAAAATGGCTGGCGAATGGGCCCTCATTTCCCCCCCCCCTTTGAACCGGCAGGGGTTATCCCAGTCCCAGCTGGACCCCTACAGGCCCAGGGGAACCAGCATCAAACGGGACTAATCATACCCAAGATGGCAGTGGAAGACGCAACACCACGAGACACAGCACAGGGGCTTGATGTCCTCACATGGCTGTATACCATATTTGAAGCCTTCTGGAGGAAACTAGCGGAACGACAAGTGGGGGCACACGCTCTGAGACAGCACACTCCCGACCACGAGGTACACCTCATGGGGGGAAGCGAACAAGAAGATGGCGTCGCCAACAACGACCCTCATGACAAGCATACAATCCC